TACGCTAAAAACAATATACAGCAGCTACAAAAATACTTAAAAATATCTGTAATTAAAAACTATGAAGCAATGGTGAAAAATATTGAAAACACAATTAATTGGAAATGAAGATAATTAACATTATTAAATATCCATATTAGTCAAAGCAATCTAAATATTCAATATCCTCACTATCAAAATTCTAGTAACTTTTTTTCACAGAAATAGAAAAAATCTCTAGTACTATATAAAATCATGAAGACCACAGGTATCCAAAGCTTGAACAAAAAGAACAAAGCTAGAGGCATTAAGTACTTTACTGTGAAGCTATATAATTAACAAAGCATGATAAGGCATGAAAACCAATGTACAGATCAATGGAATAGAGCAGACAACCAAGAATTAATCCTCATATTTGATCTATGACAAAAACTAGCCAAAATAACCAATAGGAAAAAAAGATAGTTTTCAATAAAAAGTGCTGGAAAATCTGTATATGCACACATGAAAGAATGAAGCGAGATCACAATAACATCCTATGTTGAAAGCCAACGAGAATGGATCAAAGACTTAAACATAAGCCCCAAACTGTAAAACAATTAGAAGAAGACAGCAGGGAAAACTATGGGACCTGCATCTGGGAACAGAGACTCTTCATTAGTTATCATCCCAAAGTACAAAATTAGGAGAGAAACATGGGCCTGCATGATGCTAAAAGATCTCTGCGCAGCAAAGGATACAATCAACAGCATGAGCAGGCAAGGTGCCAGATGAGAAAAAAAATTGTAAACTATATACTCTGATAATCGGTTACCATCCAAAAGGAACTCATCAAATGAGGGGCTCCATGGTTTTTGTTGCTGTTTTGGTTGGGGTTAGTGTGTGTGCAAGGTTTTTTTTTTTTTTGTTTTGTTTTGCTTTGTTATTTTTTATCCTATTGTTTGAATGTTGGTTTTGATTTTCATTTTTTTGTTTTGTTTTCATTCTGAGAGAGAGAAAGAAAGAGAGAGAGAGAAAGAAGCAGAAACATGGAAAGGGGAGGAAGCAAGAGGGAGAGGGAAAACAAAAGATCAACGAGGCATGGTCACTTAATCCTCTCCAGTTATTCCATGGTGTATCCATATTTCCAATCATCGTGCAGCACACGTCAAACAATGTTTTTCAGTTGAATAACAAGAAGAAAAATGAGGCAAACAGCAGTGTGTTCACATACAAGCTTCAGAATCTGAATGGGTTTTGTTGTTTGGCTTAAGAGACAAGCTAGACCAGGTGTGGGGACCCGTGTCTTTAACCCCAGTGCTCAGGAGGCAGAAGAAGCTGGATTGCTGTGAGATCAGATCTACACAGGTCTATGTATCCGTTCCAGGCCAGGCAGGGCTCTGTAAATAAGACCTGTTCCAAGACAAATAAATAAAAAAATACACCAAAGTGGTCAAAGCTAAAAAAAAAAAATAAAAAAAAAAGTATTGTAAAAGAAACTAACAAAGAAGTAGCAGAGAAGGCATCGTGGGCTCCTAGGGAAGCCTTCCTTCTCCCTTCTCCATGCATTTCCCTTCTCCTTGCTCTTCTAGGGATGCTCCAGCTGTGCACATCAGGGCCTGGGTCAAATCCAAGGTCAAAGTTAGCGAGCTTTCTCACAGTCCTTGATTCCAAACCAAGGGTGGCTGCACAATTTAGAACTATAATTCTGAATAGAAAGAGTCCTGACCTGTTTTGGAGTTCAAACTAGATCCTATAAAAACCCATCTCCCATCCCTGCATGCCAAAACTGTTTATCTTCTCAACATTTGCGTTTCCTCCATCAGGGAAGGCTTTGGTGTGTCTTCCTCCTGAGGACCCTGAAGCGAGTTCACTTGCAAATCCACCTCCCTCCAGTCACCAGCCTATGGATGGTGTAGAGTCTGCACAATAAAACTGTTAAGATCCACAAGAAGTTCCATAAAAGACCGCCAGTCACATATACATTCAGCAAAAACGTTTATTAATAATAATAGTAAAAACCTGCCAGCATGTTGGGCTGGCAAACAGCGACAGCTGGAGAGGCTTGCAGGGCCCCTTTTAAGATGGGTTGGGGTTTCCAGAGAGGAGATATTCGTCCTGGGGTTGATCTATGGGCGGCCCTGATGGTTAGGAACTTTGCAGCAGCAGGGAAGGGAACGCTACCTTTAGCTAGCAGGAGGCTATAGTTCTCTGCTGAGCTAGCAGAAGGCTATGGGTTGCCTGCTGATTGGTTGCCCCTGTGATGTGGTTTACCCAGAGAACTGCTTTCTCAGCTCCAGCTGGTTCCAGTAAACTGAAACTAAGGCCTGGTCTTGGAGGGCTACTAGCAGGGCCAGTCGTGTGGCCCTTGCCTGGCTCCCTGGGCCTCTCAAAGACAACTCCTAGGGCCTCCAAGCCGTTGAAGGGCTTTTCTCAGGGAACCAATGGGTCAGTCAGAAGTAAGATGCCAGCTAGATTTTTTTTTATTCTGAGTTAAAAACTGAATATTTATATTTCCAGCTTTTACAGAAATGCTAAGCTCAATTTGAAGGCTCACATTTATTTTTGGAAGGAAGGAGAGATTAGGTTAACAATGGAGAAGGCTGAAAATTATGTGGAAAGAAGAAAGATCCATTAATATTTGGATTGAGGCAGAATGCTTGCTTGCCAGACTGATTTTCCCGAGCGTGTGCTTTTTGGGTGAAAGGAGAAACAAAATGAAGAGAAAGTGCTTGGTTAAAAGCGTGAAGGTCAGCTGCCATTCCCGGGACAATAGCCACCTTTCCCTAGGAAGAAGAATAAGTAATTCTACACGTCTGTTACAGTAGCCTTTTATTTTAGGTTCTATATTCTTGTATGTAAGAGAGTGCTTTGTGTGTGTGTGTGTGTGTGTGTGTGTGTGTGTGTGTGTGTATAAGAACATTAGCATAGTCCCCACCAGTGGGTTAAATACTACAAGATGAATGGAGTTAGCTAGGTGTGATAGTGCACACCTGTAATCCCAGCACTTAGGAGGGGAATTTAAGACTGGGAGTTCGAGGTCATTCTCTCACCCTTGGGGACCTGGAAAATTCAAGGCCAGCCTAAGCTATGTGAGATCCTGTCTGTCTCAACATACAAAATGCAAACAAGGGTGAGGAAACTGAAAGTATCAACCATATGATGAGCCTAGAATTGTTAAATCTAATATTTTCAACATAGAAATAGAAAGAGGTATCAGATAATTTTAAGAGTTATAAAACAGGGGGCTGAAGAGATGGCTCGGTGGGTAAGAGCGCTGCCTGCTCTTCCAGAGGACATGGGTTCAATTCCCAGCACCCACTTGGCAGCTCACAACCCTCAGTAACTCCAGTTCTTGGGTATCAGACATCTTCATATAGACATGCATACAGGCCGAATACCAATATTTATGCACATAAAATGAAAAATAATAAATTATTTTTTCGAAGAGTTCTAGAACATAACAAGGACAAGAAAGAAGTCTCATGTGCAGAAAATAACCAAGAATGTGACATTTAACATAACAGAGTGAATGGTTGTCTTATCATAAATTGATCCTTTCCTCACATTTCCAATTATGTAAAAAATTATTTTTTTCATATATTCCATGATATAGTACTACATGACAATAGATGATAAAAGGAGCTTTAGGACAATATGTTATTATAATGAAAATAGACAATCTCAGGAGACTGATAACTCTACTAATTAGGTCTCAATTTCATTATGTCAAGACCCAGAATTTTAAAAAATCAAGAAGAGCCACCAACCCACCTCGTTTGACGTCCTCAGAGAGGCTGACTTCTTTCTTCTCTTCTATGACAAGATGTTAAAGACTTTTTACATCATCAATGGTGTCAATCCCAGCTCTCTCAAGCTTGTGGGAACCAAATAATAATAATAATTATAGCCCCTGCTGTTAATGCATAAACCTAAAGTGAGGAATCTGGGGCATGAGTACTCATGTTTTATATGTGTGTGTGTGTGTGTGTGTGTTTATACTGTTCACATTTTAACGCACCGTAAAGCTCACTTACACCTGCCCATCACTGGCAAGAGGCAGAGAAGTGACCTGAGAGCGGGAACCTACCTAGCAAAGGGAACTGACTGGCTCTCTGTTAACTTCCTAGTTTACATCGCTGCATGTAGCAGCTTAGAACAGCATTCATCAACCATCTCACAGTTCCGTAGGTCAGAAGTGTTGGTGGGCTCCTGCAAGTTTTCTGCTCAGTGTCCTACATCCCTGCAGTCATGATGTCAGCAGTGCAGTGTTCTCATCTGGAGCTTCAGCTGCACAGAACCTGTCTTCGAGCTCATTCAGGTCATTGGCAGAACCCTGTTCCTTGTGGTGTGAGAGTAACTTCCCTATTTTTTGTGAATCATTGGCCAGGAACTTCTCTAAGCTGTGAAGGGCTCCTCTCAAGCTTCTTTCCATGTGACCCTTTCTGTTTTCAACCCTCATGCTTGAAGTTGCTCAGAATTCTGCTTCTGTTCCCAGCTGAGACAAAAACAACCCTTTGTTTTCTAAGGACTTGTATGATCCAGCTAGTATTAACCAGGTAACTGTCTGTTAATACTCTCAGGGTCCACTAACTAGTAACCTTAAGCATATTTTCCAGATCCATTTTTACATGTAACAAAACATAATTGTGGCTACCATCCAGACAAGAGATCATGAACTTCACCTTGAATTAGCCTACCATGCTCTAATAACAATAATTATCTAAGGGACAGTTTAGGCCCATGGGCTTTGTCCTCTTGCAGGAATACCATTTAAAGACAGAGTGTCAGCTGTCACTTATGCCTTGCACTGAGTGTAGCTCCATCCCTGAACTCTCCAGCCTTAGGTTTTAAACGTTATTTATGGACCTGTAACTGCTAAGCAGTCATTCATTTTTACAGCACATTATCAATAAGTTTGTCCTGTGGAAACCTACATGAGATGTCATATGATAGACAAGTGACAGCGGTGTCACATGGCTCTTGCTCTGACTCCTTCTGCTGCCTGGGCACCTGCGCTGAAGACCCATGCTTTTTTCCAGAATCAGAGGTCAATGTCGATGAAGTCACTTCTGAGGACGTTAGTGAACATGCCTTCCCATTATCGCTGCCTTTGCATCAGCCACCTCATTGGATGGACGGCCTTCCTGTCAAACATGCTCTTCTTCACAGATTTCATGGGACAGGTAAGCTTGTGCCTTATGTTTACACACTCATTGGGAGCTTCTTCTGTCGGGCCTTTAGAATAGATACAGCCAAGGGTGCCTTCGAGGAACTGGTTTACAGATATGTTCTAGAAGTAGGCTTCTACACCCCGTAAAACTAAATATCCTGAGATCTACCACTGTGTGATCAAATACAACTACTAGACAAGAGTAAGTATGATCTTCAGAGCTCATGTCAAGCTTCATAAAAGAGATATATGGCATGATCCCGGCCTTGAGGGATAGCTCAGAGTTTCAGAAATAAAACAGGACAGAAAGAATTCTAAGTGAGAATAGGAAGGGTGTGGGCAGATGGTGTGGGAGGTTCTTCTGTATATGTGTTGCTTTTATTGGTTAATGAATAAAGAATCTGGCTTGGCCTGTGATAGGGCAGAGGAGAGCTAGGTGGGGGAAACTAAACTGAATGTTGGGAGAAAGAAGGCAGAGTCAAGAGATGCCATGTAGCCACCAGAGGGGAAAGACGCGAGCTGCTAGCTGGAAGCTTGCTGGTAGGCCATGAGCCTTGTGGTAAAATATAAAATAATAGAAATGGGTTAATTTAAGATATAAGAGTGATCTATAAATATGCATAAGCTAATAGGCCAAGCAGTGATTTAATTAGTACAGTTTCTGTGTGGTTATTTTGGGGCTGAGCAGCTGGGAACAAAGAAGTGGACTCCATACTATAGGCAGAGGTGAGTAGGAAGTCTGTTAGCTGTACTAGAGAATGGGATTAAGTCATGTGGGGCCAGGAGTTAGGATGAGAGGGAGGACCATTAAAGATCACCCCAGAGAAATATTATTTGTATTTGATGCATAACTATATATCATGAAGGTCCTTGAAGGAGGCATACTAGATGAATACAGTGACCTGGTGATGTCTGATTGGATTCTGCACCTGATGAAGGGCCCCTTTCCCCAAGGGTTGAGAAGCAAGAGAAGAGCTGCGCCACCCTGCACTCGATACTCAACCGCTGGCCCCTCTCTTTCAGATTGTGTACCATGGGGATCCCTACAGTTCCCACAACTCCACAGAGTTCCTCATCTATGAGAGAGGAGTTGAGGTTGGATGCTGGGGCTTGTGCATCAACTCCCTGTTCTCTTCACTTTATTCGTGTAAGTGTTCTTTTCCTAAGAAATCCTTCCACAGGCTGGCAGCAGGACCCGGATTTTATCCTTCAGAATCTATTTTCTTCTCTTTATTAGACTCTTGATAATGTTTAGGAAATGAGAAAAAGCTATTCCTATAGAGAGGATCATATACAGTGTCATTTTCCAGTCAGTTCTAGGAGTCATTGCCCTTGAATTGTGCTTCTAATCAGTGGGTTTCTGGGAAATATTTTTTAAGAAAACAAAAGGGGATTCTGTGAGTAAGATGGTGAGATACTGGACAGGTGAAATGTGAATTCCAGCAGCTCCGTGTTCTGCTGAAGCAAGACCCCTCGTGATTCCATAGATGTTTTGTGGATTTCATAGGTGATTTAGCAAATCTGTAGCTCTCCAGTGTCTCCAGCTCCACAGAGCTCCACAGGTCAACCTGGATCCCTGGGTGGGGTGGTGACAGAGAACAGGACTTGTTCTCATCTCCATCCACACAGCCAAGAGACAGCCTTCTAGCAGTTACTGCAGGAACTGAGTGTGGAGACATAGCTGCCTGCCCTATCCTATACTAGTGCTCATGACTAATGTTAAACTCAGTTATTTCTTCCCACTACAAAGACAGTACTGTTGAGGATGTGGCCCACCCTGGTATCATAGGCAGCAGAGGCAAGGGAATTTTGTCCCTGAGATGTATTGACTTCTTTTCATGAATAAAGCACTGTTAGCCAGGCTTTCAACCTTTTAGCTGTTGTTATAGATATGTTCAAGTATTTCTTTATCTTTCTTTGCTTCTCTTTGACTTGCTGTACACACCTTGACAAGAGCTATGCATTGCTGATATCTTCTGAGCACTGAGACACCTTAGACTACATTTTCTGCATAAATATAAACCATTAAACAAACAGGCTTGTCAGGGGTTGTTCTGAAATTGACCTAGCTTTGCACTGCCTCCATTCTCAAGCCTTAGCAACAGCGCTCCAGACATGGAATACATTTGATAGGGGAAGTAATGTTGTCTGCTTGCCGTTTCTGCAGCTTCTCTTTCAACCAGTGACCCAAGACAGTGTTTTGTTTTGTAATTGATTCAAATATGATACAGATTTGTTTCCTGTCTGTGAAGCGTAAGTTCAATAATAATTCCAGTGGCTGAGCAACATTTTATTCTTAATAGGCACATCTTAAGCATCTAATATTTATTCTCTGGCTAATGTGGACCAATAGACTAAAGTAGAAGAGGGATAGCCCAGCCTCTGTATTTTTTTATATTTGTATGTGCAAAGTGTATGCTAAGAGAAGGACCAAGTCTAAAGTTAGCTATCTTTGGCCCACCCTGCAGTTGATCACATGAACTGAATATCTTCTATGTGTCCTATAGTGGACTGGGTGATTTTTCATATATTTCAGCTCATTTGATTCTAACTAACAACCCCTATCATGAAGAACTACATTTTACTTCCATTTTTTTTTTTTAGGTAGAAAGATGAGATGATGAGCAGATAAGAAACTTGTTTCCATCACGGAGTCAGCCATGGGGGAACTGTAGGAACCCTTTCACAGCCTTTGCGTGATTGACAGGGTGGGGAAAATGTCTGCAGAGAACCTCACAGCTTTCTTACCTGTGCAGACTGCCTTCAGGTTGGGATTAAGAAACTAAGAATGATTTGAATGGTTCTGCAAAACCTGCTTGTTTTCTCAACCTGACTTTGGGCGGTAGGGTCAGAACAGGCACAGATGGTCCATTGGGTCCACTGGGATCGGAACCCTCTCACCAGAATGGACATGACTCTTCCTCTGTCATGTCCTCTGGGTCCCACCACCAAGGTCTGCTTTTGTGCCTCTTCTTTTTCATATTCTTTTGATATTTGGCTGACTGCTAAAAAGTACCTAGTTCTCTTCTATGGACAATAAACCAGCAAGGCAATTTTATGCTGCCTTTTATGCAAAGGCTTTAAAATTGATTGCCAAACCCAGCTGTTTCTTGCACACAGATAAGGAAGTGTTTTGTTCCTGACTTATTATCAAAGGAAACTGTCTAAAAAAATGCATCTTCAAAAGAAAGGATTATCTGAAATTATTAGATATTGTGAGGCACCTGCCAGCTGTAATTTTTCCTATTTATTCTCTCAACAGACTTTCATAAAGCTTTGGTTTCCTACATTGGATTAAAGGGCCTTTATTTCATTGGATATTTGCTCTTTGGCCTGGGAACAGGATTCATAGGACTCTTCCCTAATGTCTACTCTACCCTGGTCCTCTGTTCTATGTTTGGTGTGATGTCCAGCACATTGTACACTGTGCCCTTTAACCTCATTGCCGAGTACCACCGTGAGGAGGAGAAGGAGGTGGGTAGCAAAGGGAATTTACCTGAGGAATGGGGCGGGGGAGGGGAGAATTTGGAAGAAGACTGCATAAACTATTATCATCACGCAGACATGACGACCAGCCTAGCTGAGTTCTTCCCTCCTCCTTGCTGTGAACCGTGGAGCACTTTTTGAGTTTTAGGACCATGATTGTGACTCCTAACTATCCGATTACCAAGGCTTATTTTGCTCACAAGTAGAGTGAACAATCATTCAGACAACAGGTACCCTTATCAGTCAAGAGAGATTAGTAACATTCACTACCTAAAGTGAGTGAGAAACTAAAGATGTATATACATATATTTGTGTGTGTGTGTGTGTGTGTGTGTGTGTGTGTGTACTGTGCTCAGCATAATACCTAGTTAATACCCAACAGAACTCCAAAAATGACAGATAGAGTTATTGTCCTGGAGACAGTGACAGCAACATCTGCTCTAGGTGAATGCTAATAAAATAAGGTCCCAACTGCAACACAGCCTTGCGCAAGGCCTTCATGTATGTAAGAGACACCAAATGGCAATATGAATGAGCAGGTGCCAAATATCAAATATCTACTAAATGTTAACATATTAACCAAATAACCATGCTAAGAAGTGGTTGAAACTTGTTTCTCCTATGTTTAAAAGTAATTTAGAATTCTTTTGAAACCACTTGCCTTTTTAACACCAAGGTAGACAAAAATATTTGAATGGACACTTTGTTGAGTTTCTGCAACATTGTATTCATGTACTTCTTACAAAGAGAATCCTGACCACGTTCATGTTTGAGCCGTGTGCTCATTAAAGTTGGAGGAAAAGGCTTCCTTGTAAATAACGAATACAACAACAATGGAGTCCTTGGAGTCCCTCAATCAGGAATTTGAAAACTATGGCCTGCTGGTCAAACACAGCCTACTGTTTGTTTTCAAATAGTTTATAAGATGATAATCCCTTTTAAGTTTTTAAAAGATTGAAATAAATTCAAAGAAGGATGCTGTTTTGTGATGCATAAAAATGGCATGGAATCTAATAAGGTTGCATTGGAATGTAGTGTGTTCTTACGTGAACTTGTTCTTGATTTGTGAGCTCAGAGTCAGTTCCAACCAAGATCCCATGAGACACAAAGGTACTTACCATTGGACTCTTCCCAGGAAAAGTAAGCTGATCCTTGACCCCCCTGTGACACTGCCTTGTAGATCAACATCTGTCCCTGTGTTTCTCTTGCAGAAGCAGCGGGGAGCCCCTGACAACAGTGGAAGAGGCAAAGGTGTGGACTGTGCGGCCCTCACCTCCATGGTGCAGCTGGCTCAGATCTTGGTTGGAGTTGGTCTGGGCTTCCTGGTCAACATGGCTGGGAGTGTCATTGTGGTGGTGATCACAGCCTCTGCAGTGGCACTGATAGGCTGTTGCTTTGTGGCTCTCTTTGTTAGATATGTAGATTAGGTTTAAAAAGAGACATCAGCTCAAACTTCGGACGAACAAGGAGGTGAGGCTCGTGGCAAGAAACCAGTATGTTCTTGGACTCTTTGGCTTGGGGAACTGTATATTCCATGCTGGAATCTCACTTTGCATGCACACATTGTGGGATTGCCTGCCTCACTGCATCTTCCTTACCACCTGCTCCTAGATGTAGGGATGGGGAAAGTCAGCTTCTGCTTCTCAAGGTCATTTCTGGCCTGGATAACATCTGAGGAGCAAATCAATTCTACCTGTGGTGTTATAATCTCATTTTAAAAAAGCAGTCAGTCCATATATCGCTGGAACTCACATACTTCAACAAATTCAGAAATACTTAAATATTGCTGATTGTTTTATGGTGTTGATTTATTCACATTTAATTTGCTCAAAATTAGTTCCGGTTAATGTATGACACTCTTATCAGATCTGCTTGGCGTGTTTCCTTCTGGAAGCTGTGCAACTTAAGAGTGTTCATCTGTCTCATTGATGCAGTAAACATATTTTTCTTGAGTCTTTTATTGTCATTTCAGCCTCTGGAATTGACACTTTCAACAAACAATTTCTGGGTTCCTCCTAAGATATTCTGTCCCACCCCAACTAAGCACCTTTTCTTTAGTTAAACTCCTCAGTGGGCTCCCATGTGGGGAATTTTTAGCAGCCTGAAGAGATTGCATTGATACCATACTGAGAGACCACATTATTTAATAGGGAAACTAATCATGAACTTTAGAGCCTGCCTAGTTTTGATCCTTTCTTTAATACTCAGTGGCCACGTAGTTAACATCCCCAAACCACGCATGCTCGTGCATGCATTTGGTATGATGAATTCCATCCACAAAGCCTTGTAACAACTGGCACCTAACACTTGGGGAGTCCTTCCCAGGGTTGCAAAGATTTAAACTTAGCTGATACAGCACTTTTGACCATGGGTACTTTGGCTGTTCTTCACTTTTAGATGAGGAAACAGAGGCAAAAAGCCATGAGGTAGCTCATCTGAAGCCACCCAACTCACAAGTGGCAAAGCTGGGCTTTGGATCCAGGGCCTTAACTCTCCTGCTTCCTGGGAAGAGCAAGCGCAGGCAGACGGCTGGCCTGTGATCAGTGCTCAAGGAATGCCCTGGCCACTGATGGCAAGCCCTCGTCACCACGCCCCTTCTTAGGTTTTCTGCGGCCCTTGTTAGGTATCATCTGTACAGCTCCAAATGTTCCTGGAAATCGTCTCATCTTCTTAGGGGGCGTACATAAAGTCACCCCAGTTGTCCTAGCTTTTATCCCAACCACCATGATCTATGCCGGAGAACTGAAAACTTGACAGACTAGACATGTGACCCTGGAAAGCAGCACCTCCTCTGAACTCCGTAGCGTGAGGCAGTGACGAGCAGCTTCTACGAGGTCCTGTGTCCGTTATCCTGATAAAAGAAGCAGGCCAAGCTACTTCTACCACTCTTCCTACTTATACTTGCTGTGGAATAATCCTCCTGTACACCGTATAAACATATGTCACTGTGATTAGCTTACTAAACAAGCTGACTGGTCAATAGCTGAACAGGATAAAGTTAGGCAAGAAAGCCAAACTGAGAATGTTGGGATAAGGAAGCACAGAGTCAGAGGGGACCCCAGACAGCCACCGAGGAAGCCAGATGTATAGAAAGTGAGGTAGCAAGCCATGAGCCACGTGGCAAAACACAGTTAAGAATTATTGGTTAATTTAAATGTAGGAGTTAGGTGGCAGCAAGCATGAGCTATCAACCGAGCATTTATAAATTATATTAAGTCTCTGAGTCAGTTATTTGAAAAGTGGCTGCTGGTTGTTTGGGAACAGGGGGTTGAGACAGGAAAACTCAGACTACATATGCTTACCTCTACAAGGTTTATATGGAACCTGGAGAGTTCCTTGTCATCCTTAAGTGTCATTCCAGGGACATGTTTTGGTCTGTGAAGGCTTGGGAATGAATGAATGGGTCAGCTGGGAATGTCCTTCATCTGAGGGCCATGCTGCTTGGACCTTAAAGAAGTCAAACATAGTCACCACTGATCAGTCACAAAACATGGACTTTATTACAAGTGACCAAACATCAGTGAATCATTGTTTGGAGAAAAAAAGGCTAACACAAGAAGCAATAAATATTACTATATCAATGTACAATATTGATTTGGCAACATTTGATAGAGTACTGAGCTAGGGTAAGGACCTAGAGCAATCAGCAATCTCTCTCTCTCTCTCTCTCTCTCTCTCTCTCTCTCTCTCTCTCTCTCCACACACACACACACACACACACACACACCTACACACACATATACTTTACCCATCGAACTCAGTTCCATTAAGTTTGCATGAGTGGACATAATCCCATTTTTAAAAGCCTTTAACCACCTCTGAAAACCCCGATTTTTATTTTCTTTGACAAATGAAATTCATTCTGACCAAAAAGCATCTTAACTTTAGATAAAATTAATATGAGTGTAAACATTTTCAGTAGTAATCCAGGGAACTCCTAACAGATAAAGGGAAGGTCCACTGTTTGCTTTCTGCTTCCCCTTCCCCCACCACCCTCAGCATCTTTGTCAACATTGCATCCACATTACCTAGACCCTGCTCAAATATTATTTTGAGCAAAATCTGTCTTTTCTTCCTGGATTCTCATACCCCTTTCTTTTATTGTAGCCTCAATGTAATGTCCAAATCATTGTTCTAAGCATTGTCTTGCTTGACTCTCTGGCTGTCTGTTCTAACTGTGAAGTCTGGGCTGTGCTGGGTTTTGCCCTAACCACAGGCACACAGAGGGGCTGCCCAGCCACCTCCTGCTGTTCTGTCTTTGAGTGGACAGAATTCATAATCTTTCACTCTCCCTGTGGTGTTCTCTGAAGCCCTCAGCCTTGGATTTGGACAGAGTGGCTCCTTTTACAGAGATTTGCATGAAGTCCTAGCCCCAGCTCAGTATCTTCTCTTTCTGTAATGCCCACAGCAGAAACAATCACATCAGTACTTTTGCTTAAGAATTCCGAGCTATCCACAAACAATAGCACTCTCAAAATTAGAACAGCAAGTGACGTTAATCTTCCAGGAACAGTCTAATACCGATGCTGTACATGGACGTGGTATTGTCTGTTTCCTCTTATGTTGGCCCTGTTATTTATTTTGCAAACTGGAACATGTGTTAGTTAGGGTTTCTATTGCTGCAACGAAAAACTCCAAAAAGCAAGTTGGAGAGAAAAGGGTTTATTTGCCATTGCAGTTCATCATTAAAGGAAGCCAAAATAGGAATTCAAAGAGGGCAGAATTCTGGAGGCAGGGGCTGATGTAGAGGCCATGGAGTGGTGCAGCTTCCTGGCTTGCTTCACATGGTTTGCTCAGCCTGCTCTCTTAAAGAGCCCAGGACCACCCGTCTAGGGATAGCATCAGTCAACAATGGGTTGGGACCTCCCCTATCAATGGCTAATTAAGAAGATGTCTTACAGCTGGATCTTACACCATCATTTTTCTCAATTGCATCCTCCCCTTTCAGTCAGATTTAATTTGTGTCAAACTGACATAAAATTAGCCAGCACAGAGCCCTGGGGGCTCACATTCCAACAGGTACCAGCCTGGTTGCTGGTCAATAATGCCAGCATTAATAATGCCACCAAGCAAAGGAGGCCTGGTGTGACTGCTTCAGAACAAGGCCCCAGGGCTTGCTTTTCTTTTGTTCTTTTTTTGCGGGAAGGTATCTGAGTGCCTGGAGCTGTGTTGCAGAAAATGTGATTTTGATGGCAGGCACGCAGATCCCATAGACCAAGCTTTAAGTCTCACATATAAGAGTACAATGTTGACAAAATTACCAAGCAGTCTTATCATTCAGGAGGCCATTTAAGCAGATGTGGTCTTCTAGTGAGACTTCAGAAAGTGACCACACCACAGTGTGAGGTGCCTGCTCTACTGGCCCCTTAACCCCAGACCAAGGCAAGTAGAAAAGGAGCCTCTCTATTGACCCTGGTTGAGGAAGGGGTTGATCTCAGTTCTCAGAGAAGTCTCTTACCCTGTGACTAGAACTGAGGAGTCTACTCACTCCTTCGAGACAGCCCTCTGGCTGGCCTGCATGCACAATGAACAAAACACACAAGAGTACCTGGAACTTGGTTAGCCAGTCTTCTACTCAAATTCCAAGTCTTTCCTTCTGTCAGCTACATAGCTTCACTCGTACATTTGGCTGTTGGGAACGGTCCCTTCTTTCTCTTTAGGATAGATTTTACTTGAATCCTCCCTCCCCTTGGAAAGATCAAACCCCAATTTCTAGAAGACAACTGGACAACATTTCCTGCTCTTCTAAGTCCCAAACAGCACCGAGCCATCCCTCTATCTGCTACTTAGGTAGTTTCTCATCTGTCAGCCCGTTCCCAAAGAGTGGGGAGGGGGCGTTGCTAAAGCACCCCAACTCTCAGAAGAGCGTTCAGGGTGCATGCTGCCTCACCTGCAGCAATAGACCAAAGCGCCAGGTATCCATGCTGTCCTCAACAGATTCTGGGTACCCAGGCTTTCAGAGGAGACACTACATTTCCCACTCTGTATCTAGTCCCCCCCCTTTTTTAGGGGCTGCATCATGAAAAAGCTTCTTTATATCATTCCTTCTAACCACAGCACTCTCTCTTGTACTTCTCGTCACTTCTGGTGCACGGGTGACATTTGTGCTCAGAGGCACAGCAGAGAGATGAGGGTCAGCTTGTGCATGTTAGCCCTGTCCAGGATGATAAAGGATAAAAGATTCTAGTTCTCATTTTCCTTTTTCCAGACAGTCACGACAAGTTAGATCTTTGCTTGGGACAGTCTAGCAGATCAAAGGGCATTTAGGCGGGCTTTATGGGCAACTTACCCTGTGGGATTTTGCTTGAGGCCCCATAAAGTTCTCCATAAAAGTCTCTGGGCCAAATGATCCCTGGTCTGGACATAATTTAGCTAAGCCCAGCTCCTGAGCAACCCAGTCTCTCTGCTTCCCAGTGCAGTTCCCACTTCCCATGGCTCCTAGGTGTCCCACAGCATTCAACGGGCCGGGTAGGGGAGTGGGAGCTGGAGTAAGGGACAGGGGAGTGGGGAGCCTGAGCCGAGGCTGCTGGCTTTACCGGGTGCGGATGTTTCTCCCTTAACCTGATTTCTGCTGAGAACATCCTCTGGCCTTTTCACAGTCTGCTCTTCCCAGCAACATTCCTTTCCTACTTTTTTTTCTTCAATCCCGCTCTTCCAACCCCCAAACTGCTCTCCCCTCTCCTTGTCGGTGGAAGGACCTCTCGAGCCTTGGCACGTCTCAGTAGGCCGAACTGCTAGGCAGCAGGTCGTAGCGTCCCCCACTGTAGACCACTACACCTGGTGGATAGTAGAGCAGGTCAGGTTCTGCAACGGCAGCGTTAAGCGGCGCCAGGGCCTGCAGCCCGTGGTCCTCCGGCTCTGGCTTGGTGGTGGCGGTGAAGGGGCGCATGCTGGTGAGCGAAGGCGACGCGATGCGCCACAGCAGGTTCTTGAGCGCCTTTCGGAACTCGCGGCGCACTAAGCAGTAGAGGATCGGGTTGAGGCAGCTGTTGGAGTGCGCTAGGCACACGCTGACTGGGAACGCGTACACCTGGCACAGAAAGTACTCCTGGCTGAAGGGCACCGCGTTGAACTTGATGAGGATACTCCAGGTGGTGAGCGCCTGGTTGGGCAGCCAACACAGGAAAAAGGACAGGACTACGATGGTCACTGACTTGGTGACCTTGGACCGCCTCCGAGCGCTGGCTGCACTCAGGCCTCCCCCAGCCGCTGCGACTCCGGCTCCATCCGTCGTCCCCACTACGCGACGGTCCGAGATGAAGCGCACTAGCAACAGGTAACACAGACTGATGATACTCAGCGGTAGCAGGAAGCCCAGCAACACCTTCTGCAGGTGGTACAAACCCAGCCAGAACTGCCTGTCCCAGCCTAGCAGCTTGTCGGGGAAATGCATGAGGCACAGCTCCTCGCCCATCACCCTGATGGTGATAGAAAAGATGACATTGGGCAGCGAGGCTAACATGGCAGAAGCCCATATCAATCCACACAACACCTTGGCTGAGAAACAGCAACTGTCCCTTAAGCTCTGGCCGCAGCAGTCGCCACGGCCAAGCCCTCGGGTCCGATGGCTCTTCAGAGCGGAGGCCACAGAGTGGTAGCGTGCCACGCTCATAGCAGTGAGAAAGAAGACGCTAGCGTACATGTTCATGGACGTCACCATGGACACTATCTTACACATGGCCTTGCCAAAGGGCCACTTGAAATCTAGAGCGTTCTCCACTGCCCAGAAGGGCAAAGTGAGCACGAATTGAAAGTCAGTGAGCGCCAGGTTAGTGACGAAGAGGTTGATTGAAGATTTGCGCCAACCCTGCTTGCTCTTCATCAGGTAGAGAACCAGTAGGTTGCCGGCCAGTCCCAGGGCACAAACTACCCAGTAAACCGCACTGATGAGAATCCGTACCCGGGCCTCAGTGTCTGCGCTCTCTGCCCCGCCGCTGCCCGGGGGATGCCCGGGTGCCGCACCATCAGGCAACTCCAGCCCCAGCTCCCACCACAAGTCGGGAAGCTGCGGCGACGCGTTATTGCTCGTGTTGGTAACCTCCAGCGAGTCTGGGATGAGGCTGAAGAATTCTGAGAGCTCATCACCCGCAGCCACCTTACTCATGGTGGCGGCTGTGGTTGCAGGAGCCACCTGCGCGCGCAAGTGCCCCTGGGTCATGTTCTGCGGGCCAACTATCCGAGAGGCACTGCTAGCTCCGGGTGTGGTACCCAAGGGGTCCAAGGAGCTTTCTAAGAAGCCACTGAAGACAACACCTGGAAAGAGGATGCTGAGCCGAATCCTCGCACCCAGAACCGCCTTGGGCTCAAGGGTTGGCTGAGCTCAGCATCAGGTCTTAACGGAGGGCAGTCAGGAAAGTGGCCCGGATCAAGGGTCTTCCTTTCCCCGCCCCCCGTTGTCACTTAGACACACCCCCCCTGCTCAAGAGCACAGGTCTCCTTCTGCTTCTCTTCCCAGTACCTTTGTCGGCTTCTGCTGTTGCCCGGACGAAATTCTCTCCTTTTAGAGGAAAACAGAGATCGGGAACATCCGTGTCTCACTCTGACTGCCTGGAGGTGGATTCACACCGTCACTGCCTGGAGCTCCGTTGGTGTTTTCTATTTGTCCGATATTGTCACCCGCAAGTGACTTAACAGAGTTACTGGAGTTGCGTTCGCACCCACAGAGCCTCTGCGGAGAGCCCCAAAGAGCATGCGTAATCCCCGTAGAAGGGGGTGCTTTCCGAGGTGCTGAACCCCGCGCGCCACGGGGGGGGGGGAGGCAGCTTCCAAGGGTAACTCCCTCTTTTCTTCTCCCCAGTTGCAGAAGGAGCGGTCTTGACCTTTTATTTTCTCTTATGGCTGGAGTGAATATGCTTTCTTCCGTTCTTATTCTGGCTCCCCTCCCCCCGCCATTCTCCCTTTCACTTTGATATTGAAATCATTCAGTCAACACAATAGTGACACCTTTTTCCTTTAAACTAAATGACATTCAATCCTTTCCGAATACTCAAAGCTGAGCTCCATCTCCCCTTAAATTAGCAGGTTGGCAGAATTCCAAGGATTGGTGTTTACCTGTGGCAGAATTTCAAGGGTTGGTGTTTGCCTGGAATTGGGTGTATTTTGAAAACCAAAACCGTGGGGGTACTGTGGGAGATACATCTCAGAATTTCAGTATATTTAAATGCCAGACTAGCCGCTCTGGTGGAAACTACACTTTTAAAGAAGGGCCTAATGAATTTGGAGTGTTTGTTTTACTGAAGAATTAAGCTGAAATCCGAGTATGCTAAGTATGCAGAAATTGGCCTAATTTCTGGGATAATAAAGGGTCCCTGACTTTAAAAAACAGCAATTAAGGTGTGTAGCATCAGATGGAATGGAAGAGGTAAAGACATTTAACCAAACAAAGAAACAACAAGAAAGGCAAGAGATACTCAACAGCCTTAGGAAGTTTAACGTCTTAATTCCAAAGCGCACCTGAAAAGGGCACTTCGCCGCAGACGCTGCAATTCTCTATTTTACCAATAGAGGCCGCCAGAGCTTTGGTAAAAATCAAACCGAACGGCAGTTGCTGCGTTCTCATCTGATGACGCTTTGGTAATTGTGTGCAACTGTGGACGCTCGTGTCTCTTGGCATCCCTGCTTTATAGCTGTCTTCAAGATCACTTTTTCATTTTTTAAAAGCTTTCCCCTTCTCTATCAATTTTCTCTTTTGCTTTGTTCATATTTCAAAAGCTATTGAAAAACAAGAAAGCCTGTGGCAATACCAAAAGCCGTCTGTAGTTAAGTTTTTAATGTGTTCATATCAATACTCCCTAAGCCACACAAATAGCTTCGTTGTCTTCAGGCTTCCAGTCTCATCCATGATTTTTTGATATGCCCCAAGTACCATAAAGCAGTCACACGCTTGATGAAGCTTATGCAGGAGATTCATGCCATGTCACATTCTGCTGGGCTCTGAGCAACGTTGAGAGAAACACAGCCATGACGTAAGTCCTTTATTTTTGGTCTCCTCTGGAACTCAGTCTAAATGAATGTGTAGTTTGGGAGCACGGTGGCTGAAGTTTTTGTTTAGGCTTACGTGTGACTAAGTTATCCGGAATACAATGGACTTGCAACAGATGCCTGGACAATAATTTCAGCTCTTTCCCGGACTTTAGGAAGTGGGTAGGTAATAAGTAGCTTGCTGTACTATTATGGGCAGTTGCTTAGATTTGGGCTGGAGGTTATTTGGGGGTTTAAATTTGGATAAACCACATAAGGGGAAAGCCTACAGAGAAACACAGCATCAAGAAGCTCATTTTCCTCCAGGGAGGCTGTATATGTGATTTTTTAAAAACTGGGTTGTATATCTGAACTTACATGTGCCACGCAACATCCTGAGTGAGGACAGAGGCACCACACAAACTGGAGTATGTAGCTCTGCACACCTAGAATCATGGAGTGTAGCCATGATGCTGTGCAAGGGAGGCCTGAAGAGGTGAAGGGATTTACTAAGAGCTCATTTTCATAAGTTGCTCTGCCAGGGTTAAGCCGTAACTCTCCCGACTTTTGTGTGGTACAGTTTTGTATCATTCTTTTCTTCGTAAGTTGAATCTAACTGCCCCATAGCTTTCAACGACAGAGTAGGTGGCAGACTGAGTAATATTTTCTCCAAAATATATGCATCTCTGGGCCCTTGGATATTATCTTATGCAGTCAAAAGGATCAGATGGAAGTGACTGAAGGTCGTGAGATGAGAGAGATGTTCGTTGACTATCAAGACAGACCTGAGACACTCACAAAAGCCCTTGTGAGGGGCTGGAGAGATGGCTCAGCGGTTAAGAGCATTGCCTGCTCTTCCAAAGGTCCTGAGTTCAATTCCCAGCAACCACATGGTGGCTCACAACCATCTGGAATGAGGTCTGGTGCCCTCTTCTGGCCTGCAGGCATACACACAGACAGAACATTGTATACATAATAAATAAATATTTTTTTAAAAAGCCCTTATGAAGGGCATCATGAAATGTGGAGATCAGAGAAGTCAGTGTGACAGTGAAGCAGAAGCAAGGGGCTCTGCTTTGAGGGAGAAAAGGGGCACAAGCTGGGCCACTGAAAGGTGGAAAGAGGCAGGTGGTGGACACTCTCCCGGGGCCTCCAGAATGCAGTAGCACCCCCAGCGCCTTGATTGTCTCTGGACAATGATTCGGGAATTCTGAGTCCTAGGAGAGACTGGGTTGGCTTTGTTTTGCAGCACATTTGTGACAGTTTGTTGTGGCACAATTGCTAGGACAATTAAGCTGCATATCATTTCGTTTCATTATTTTATTTTACTATTATTTTAATAATGTTCATCATTATTATTTTTCACTCATTCAACAAATACTTATTTAATATTGCTTTGTGTCAGGTATTAGTCCAGGGCTAGAAGACTTTGTGGTAAATAAGTCTGTTAAAGTGCATATTCAGAGAGCTGATACACATATTCAGAAGTTATGTGATTGCAATTTCAGGAAGGAAAACAAAGTAAAATGAATTATAAACCATCTACAAGGACTTTTGAACTTTCTGAGCCTATCTATTTAGCAACTCTTCAAATTAAATGTTTTAAAATCAATAATAATTTCCAATCACTGTATGATTATCTAATGAGATAAGGGTTTTTCCTCTCTGGAAAACTATGAATAAATTAATAAATGGTATGCATGGGAAACTATGTCTTAAGGAAAGAAAATTCAGAAGCTATGGAAAGGGCTCCTCCCTTTCCACAGGAAAAGAAAGATCATTTGGGCAGAAGGGATGTTGTGGGTGAAGACAGCAGCTGGTGGTGAATAGGTGGCTTTTGTTGGCCAGAAAGTGGACTAAACTCCTGGACACAAGCACAGCAAGTGGGACTGGCGAGATCTGCTGAGTCAGGTAATGTCTAGCCAAAGAACTGTGGTCCTCAACATCAGCACAATGAGAGGAAAAATCAGAAAGGAAGCAGCAAGATCAGCTTTGCATCCAACCCATCCCTTTAGCTGTGTGGTCGAGTTGGACGGAAGGAACACAGAGGGACATTTAACCAATTAAAAAGCTAAAGCAAGACGCATGACAGAGGTGGCAAAGCAACCCGTGATGGAGAAGAACCAAATGAAGTTTACACAGATGCTTTGAAAACTGACTTCTGGGCCCTTGATGGGCAGCCTGCAAGGGGCAAGTGAGCAGGAGACAAAAGCCCGTGGGAATCTACTCTGCCCCTGGGTAGGGAGCGATACTGAGGAGAAGAATTGATGGGAATATGACAAATTCAGATTGCACAAATGAGACTGCAGATGATTACAACACTATCAATGAGAAACTGGGGGATAGTTAGGGATGTGAGTCCATAACTCTGAACTCTAGATCTAAGATAAAACTTTGTGAGTCAATGGCAGAGCTGGAAATCACAGGTTTCACGTTGTCTGTTGGAAGCTTGAGAAAAAAAAAAATAACCAAAGAAGACAGTAGGTCTGGATTTGATGGTAACAGGTAGAATAAGGGAGAAGGTTGAGACGATGTGACATGGAAGGCAAGAAACATAAATGTAAGAGGAAAGAAGAGGCTGTGTCTAATGATGCAGATGCTGGGCAACGGGGCTACTAATGTTACTAAGAAGAGAGTCGCATTGACTTCTGGCCACGAAAGAAGTGGAGCCAAGGGAACTAGAGAGAATTCAGAGATGTTGACTAGTATTTTGCTCTTTGGAGATCTATGGTATAGACTCAAAGATTCACCTAAACAACGGCCAAAAAGAAAGAAAGAAGTCACGAGTTTGGGCTTCTGGTCCTCAGTTTGTGTCACTCAGTTACAATGTCTCAACTCTGGAAAACGTGGACATTCTGAGACTGGTAACTCTTTGTTGTGAAAGGGTGACCAGCACTCCTGAACTGTCCCCACTAGATAGCAGTAACATCTCTTCCTCCTGAAATGCCTGTGTACGTGGCCACGTGTTACCTGGAGCAAGCATTCCCTTCTCCTCTATGTTTAAGAAACTGTGAATCTCAGGACAGATTATGGTAGAAGAGCAGTGTACAGCGTACAGAAAAGTCCTTGGGACCCCATTCCCATTGCTAGGAAAATAATTCACAGGGCCTTGCCTTCAGGTGAAAGACTGTATACAGAAAAATACCATGGTATACTCTCTTAGGCTACATATGTACCAGTCTCAGCATTGATGGAATA